TTTCCTCCTTCCCAATGTCCTTTATTTAGAATTAATTTTAACGAGTTAGTTTTTGCATATACCACATTCTTATTTTATGCTTTATTCTCTACCACAAAATCCACAAATCATTGATTTTGCAAGTTTTAATTCATGCTCTTTTTCTGTATTACTATGACATATATCACAAGGAAAGGCTTTTCCACAGCAAGGGAATCTAAAAAAATCTAAAAGAATGTTTGTAATGAGAGCAGGTTCCATTCTTGGGTAAAGGTTCCCCTTATTTAAATGTGCCCACTTTCTTTACATAATTTTTATCTTAAACAGTTGAATTAGCTAGTTTTTAGTTTTTCTTTCTTAATAAAATATCTTAATCTTGTAGAATATTTTTCTGTTATTCAAATCCATAATAAAGGAAAACTTATTAAGCAAAACATTTATAACATTCGCTTTGATAAATTACTCCATTTACGTAGTTATCAACTTCTTTTTTAATTATCACATTCTTTGCAAGTCAATATATATGAAACATTTCTTATTTCATTTAACTACCATGTAAAACTACCTATTCTAAATACTAACGCATTTTTAGTATCATAAATGATTTCTCGAGTTGAATATATTTATGATATCCTATTACAAGATACACATACAAGATTATTCACTAATATATTTTCATTTGTATCAGTCATAAAATTGCATAAAGTTAATTCTGTATCATATTTACATTGTTTGCATTTTACACTTATTAATATTTGAATTGCACGCATATAAGCTAGCTATTTATAACAAATAAATATTTTTTCAATTTTATTATTTATTACCCCTTTTAATATTAAATCTTTTAAAATAAAATTAATATTCAAATCCAATGTGTGTGTTATATCTTTGTTTTCTCCAGATTTTTATGTTTCTTATTCATCTTCAAAATAATCATCTTCTTCATTCTATTTTTATAATTCATTTTTTATATTTTATATTTTAAATATTTATAATGATATATTTTTACATTTTAATTATAATAAGGATCTTTTTCACTTTCTTCTACTCCTTCTTCTTATTCGACTTAATCTTCTCCTTCTTCTTCTTGTTCTACTTCTCTTTTTTCTTCTATTTTATCTTATTATTATTCTTAATTTTCTTCTTATTCGTCTTAGTCTTCTGCATCTTCTTCTTCTTCGTTTTAATCTACTTTATCTTGATTTTCTTATTCGCTTTCCTTTTATTATAATTATTGCGCCATTTAAATAGCAATTTATAGAATTTTATCAATGTTATTATCTAAATACTTAAGCGTTCGAAAAATACTTTTAGCTTACTTTTAATGGGCTTAATTCATAATTTCATCTAAACTATCTTTAATTTCATTAGGAATACTTTTATTAAGTACTTAATACTAAGAATTCCAACTTTAAGGATCAAGGGCTATTCTAAATTAAATGAAACCTTCAGATATATCAAAAGGAATTTGTAGACTTTCTTTTTTAAAAGTAGGAGTATGTTTGATTTCAAAAACTCTATTTTTTAAATCCAAATAAAAGAACTCATATATTTTCTTTAAACTTAAGCTAGATCCATAGAATAATCATCTTTTAATCTTTTCACATAATTTACATAATCATTTTTAAATAAAGCCATATTATTTACTTCACTAAGTTTTATCCCTTCAGGTGTTTTTGATATATCAATCCAACTTCTTTTTTTATTTTAGAACTTCTTATTATTAATAAGATTTTTCAATTAGTTTTTATTATTAAATATGTTCAACTTCTTATTTTTATTCTTCTTACTTTAATTTTTATTCATTATTTTCTTATTATTTTTTAAACTCTTTATGATCTCGATGTTCCTTTTAAAGACGTAATTGTACTTCTTTTTAATGTAAGAACACGTTTTATATTCTTCATCTTCATCTTCATCTTCATCAGAAAAAGAAATATTAGATTTATTATATTAGTCATTTTATTTAAATTAAAATTATTTTTTTTGAAGATTTTTCGGTTTTAATTAATTTTAAGATTATATTTAATTATTATTTTATATTTAATGCAAAAAATTGCATTTATCTCCGAATCTGCAAAAACCTTATTTAAAATTTATACATAGTTTCTTTTGTGTTACTTTTGTTGGTTTAAATCCATGAGAAAATTTACATTTATCGCCATAAAAGCATTTACCTTGACGAAACAATATACATTTTTTTTATTTAATTATTTAATCGGCTTAATTTTATTAATTAAAATTTTAATTTTATTAAATTTTTTATTCTTTATAATCAGCATTATTTATTTTGGTTTCTTCAACTAATTAATGATAATTTTGCTCTTTTTTTTATTTTTTATTAGCGTCTATTTATTATAATTGTTGTTCATTTGTTAATTATTATTATTATTCGGGTTAATTTTATGATTTTCTTTGATGAATATATTATTTATTTGTATTTTTATTTTTATTTTAATATTATTATTAATCCATTTTTTTATTATTATTTTATATAATATTTATATTTTTTGATTTATTTTTCTTTTTAAATTTTTTATATTAAGTACTATAATAGCAGAAATATTTCTGGAAAAATATAATATAAACAAAAAAAAAGAAAATATTATAAAAATAGTATAGAAATAAATAATTAAAATATCTGTTTAAAATAACATAATAAAAAACAATTAATATTGAAAAAAATAAAAATTATAAAAAATAATAATAATATAAATTATTAAATATATAATAGTTAAAATTTATATTTATATAATAATTTTATGTTTTATTTATTTAAATTATTAAAATAGATATGTTTATGTAATTAAAAATTTCTTTTACTAAATAGTATTTTTAGAAATTTGAATTATATAATTTTAAAAAAAAATTTTGGTTTATAAATTTTTTTGCAGACTTCAAAAATTAAATTAATTATATAATTTTCTGATTAAAAATATTTAAAAAAATTGTAAATTTATATTTATAATTTTAAAGAATTTTAAAATTTATTGTTGTAATTAGTTTTTTAAATTTAAAAATTATTTTTTAATAAATTAAATTAAAATTTTATAATGGATTATTTGAATAATTAAATAAAATTATTTATCNTTA